TCGAGTCGGGAGGAAACAGTCAGAACAGTGCGGGCAATGGTGCTGGCCGATACGGTTTGAAGAACCCATGGACCCAGGGTGCTTGTTTTGGTTGTGGACAGGTGGGCCACATTGCGAAAGGCTGTCCCCAAAGAAGTGCGAACCATTTAAACTACCAGGGGCCGGGACAGTTGACGAGTTCGAGGGAGGCTTTGTTCCGGCCGAATATAAGAAGCAACGAGGTGTCAGACGACCTCCAGCGACAGTTGACGATCCCAGACGGATCATCGAGACTGAGCGAATGCGTGAAGACAAATGCGAAGGTGATTCGATCCTCGACGGGGAGCATGTGAGGACAATATTGCAGCGTCGGCCACGAACCACAGATAATGCGAATGATACAGGCGCGATCCACAATCGCCAAACAAAGATGACATACGAGTGCGTGGGTATTAGTCATTGGACGAATGATCCGTACGGAGCCTATGTGGATGCTTGCGTTGGAGGAACGAACATGGACACGTTATTGGACACGGGGGCCACAACGAATTTGATCCGAAGCGACAAGGCTCGAAAAATTGTTGATGGACCGGAGATAAAACTGTACAGGGGTCACTTGGAGACAGCGGACGGAAAGAAGGTCGCTATTGATGGTTGCATAACGACAAATTTGAAGTTAGGTGTCATCGATGATGAAATCGAGGCTCTGGTGGTACCCGAACTGAAGGCTGAGATGGTACTCGGTCTCAGATCACTGAAAGGGTACAAATGTTCGTTAGAATTCAGCAGAGACAACTTGTGGACGGGGCCTACGGAAGGATCGGTTGTGCCAGTGTTTTATAAGGCTCCCCAGCTGGTCCCCCGAGTTCCCCCAGACCCAGGAGGGAAGAACAAGTTGGAAGCAAATCGGTGGGATAGACCAATTCTGACAAATAATATGTCCAGCGATGTACTGGACGAAATTCCAGAGGGTTGGCCAGTCAACTATGAGAGTCACAGTGTAAATATGCTCCATGATAACGAAGCTGAAGACGACGACATGTATGGATGCCCCAAGCCAGTATCGTTAGAGGAAGCACTGAGAAGGACTCGTGGCGGAGGTCGATCAGATATGGTTGCAGTGGTTTCAGAGTCAGAGGGGGCCACAACGAGCAAGCGACCGACTCCTTATCGGTCGGTTAGTTTCTTCGATGACCGGGAGATGTATGATAAAGATGAGTTGTTGTGGGCGAACAACCGGGAGGGTTTTAGTCATGACCCAGGTCCAAAAGATGTACCAGTCAGATTGTTGCCTGTGAGAAATCAAGCGGAAGAGCAACAAGTGAATCCACCCGGAATTAATGTGCGAAACAGGGCGATGTCCGAACACTTTGCTGATCCACCTCAACGAATGATGGATGTGGCTAGGAGGGAAGAAGATGTGATAGAGACGTACGATGCGACGGAGCTCAAGGCCAGAAGGGAAGAAGAGCCTGCGAATCTACCGAGTGAGGCGGAAGGCAGACCCCCGATAGAGCCGATGGCTGCTGAACCAGTGATAGAAATTAGCACTGCAGATGATGGCGGTCGGCCAACTCGAGTAAGGAAACCACCTGTGAGGTTTGGAATCGACGAGTTTGTGAGTTAAAACTTTCATTAATAAAGTGTTTCTGTTCATTTCATATACAATTGGTGCTTCTTGTTATCTGAGTGCGATCCCACCTAACGATTTTGTGCGGATTTTGAACATTGATGATTACGAATAGGAAAGGGTTGGATCGTACCACGAAGAGTAAAGTTAATTCAGTTACGTCCCCTCTTAGGTTACTCATTGTGCTATATAATTGTTTATTTAACGGGGACTAACTGATGGGTCCGCAATCTTTAAGGGTAAAAGTTTAAACGGGGGGAAAACGACCAAGTGTTGAAGGCACGGCGTAGCGGAACGAAGCGTTATGTAAGTTAACCTTAGGCTTGTTATTAGTAACTTTTTCATTATTCCGGAGAATAATAGACTAGAAGGGAAGATTGTAGAATTGGTGATTCTACTGTATTACATGCTGTAGAAACCTGAGTGTAAAATTGATAATTTTATGATGAAAATGGTTGAAAATTGTGAAATTTGATTTCAAGGTAAGCCGACTGTATGAACTTAGAGCAATGAAATTCAGTGATAGATAAGCTTAGTTTGAGAGCAAACAATCGTAATCGTACTCTGCACCTTGAATTTGGCCTCTAGGGCGAAGAATTGGAAAAAAAGAAGAAAGTGCTAAAAATCTGGAAACCCCCCCCCCCCCGGATTGGGAACCACTGGTCCGATCCCTATGAAAATTGGTGGGTGACTAATAGAGATGATTTTAGCCGGGCATGCAAATTTCCAGACCCCTGGGACTCCTGGGGGGCGAGTGATAATGATTTCTGAAAATGCAATTAGCACTTTTTTGTAAACCGGTAACTAATGGTTCGAATGACTTCATATTGCAATATGTTGTAGCCCTAGGCGAGGGAAGTTGACCACTGGGATTTTGAACGCATCCGGTTATTACTTCCGGTTTTACACCTTATGTAAACAAAACCCACTTTTCGTTATTTCTCGACCCCTGATGATGCTAGGAGGTTGAAACTTGGGGGGATGGTAGGTTGGGGGAAGACCTATAATGTATCAATGTTTGGACACAATCCGGCGGCTACGTCGGAAGCTATTAGCACGTGAAAATTAAATAAGGCTATTAACACCTGATAGTGATAATTGACTTGTGATTTTAATGCACCAATGTGAAGGGGGGCCCAACCCAGTAGGGGGACATCTAGTGACCCAATCCTCTCCGGAACTTCCTATGGGGTGAAAATGGCAATTTTAGGGAAAAGTGTTAATTTACCCAATATTTTCGAAAATATGGGAAGGGATGGTCCGATATGAATGAAACTTATTGAGAATGATCTCCCATCGGAATTAAGACGTTTGGACGCGTTTGACCTCATTTGACCTCGGATGACCTCTAAGAGGTCATTTGGCATTTTTGACCCCAAGACCCCGGAAACCCTGAAAAGCGATAAATTAGCATTGTAAGGACCCGTAAAGGGGTACCTACCCACCTGGGGGGTAAGGGGAGGCCCTAAATTGAGATTTCTTAGTTTTGACCTTTGTACGCGAGCGAAAGTGATTTTCTGTAATTAGCAAACATTGGGGTCAGCTTAACCCACTCCACTTGGACTTTCGGTAAAAACGACAAACAAGTAAAAGAACAGCCCCGTACAAAAATTGGGAACATCTATGGGGGAAATGGGAATTTCGGGATGAAGATTTTATGAACAGCCCTAGCATATTAAATAAATTCTTGTGGTGTTTTTTCGGATCCAAACGGACACGGGGAAGGGAATTACCCAGCCCTTGGACTTAGGGGAATAAAATTAAAATGACCAAAATGGAAACTTTTCAAGTATCACGGAAGTTAAGTTACCGATTGTGTGAGTACTACCCAATTCATAGGAAAGGTAAAAAGTTAGGTAGAACTAAAATAAAGTCATGCAAGGGTTCATTTGTCAAATACGATTGGGAGCTGATTTTGTAGTTGAACCCAATGTTTGCTCAGTATGTCCTGATTAACTAAGCGGCACCCCGATGTTTAATTAAAGATGACCTAATGGTTGATTCAGCTGATAAGTCCTGAGTGGCGGCTAGTTAAGTGAATGTCAGTAGCGATAGGGAACAGTACGCCTCTGACCGAACCGAAAGTAAATAAAGATAACGATACGCGATTAAGGTACAACCACCGAACCGGGCGAGAACAGTGATAACTACGATTGAAAATAGTTGGTTCTCAGTTAAGTTAGAGAACAAGTTGGGCTACGAGTTAAGGTAGTCGCTGTATCCTCAAATTAAAGTGAGAACGAAAGTTGACGAAGACTGAGTAAGTCGGTTGGAAAAAGTTGCAAAAACCTTAAAGGAACAACTTCGCGAAAGTTGTTAATTTATCGGGTGAGGTAATTTTTCCTAGGGTACTTTTGGGATTTAAACGTAGTTCAGAAAAGATAACTCCGAACGATAATTAAGGTTGGGATATTGATAACTGTTAAAGGCAGTTAGTTAATTAAAACAAATCGCAGTCCTATTCTTTCTTTGAACGACTAATTGATATTTCCGCCATTTATAGGCTACTCTGTATTTGGTTATATTTATTCCTTAATTCAGTCTTATTATTGGAATTGTTGTTGCGATCGACTATTGATTGACAAGTGAGATACAGTCGGAAGAGCACAGATCACGGGGCAAGCAGCATAGTAAGATACAGAGAAGCCAACCACCAAATTAACCCTTTTGGGATTGTAAACAGTATTGGGAATCGGTTGCCCCACTGACCCCAGTACTAAAGGGAACATATTGCGGCGGTGCGAAGGACGATAACGAGTGAGAAAAGCCGGCCTAGAGATATTGTGAATTCCCCCAAGTTTACAAAAAGTTTGAAACCTAATGTCGTTTGTATAACATATTTTTAGTCTTCAAAATGGCACTAACTATCATTTTAGATTCATTTTCAAAGTTCAATTATGTTTAGAGTGACCCTTGCTGCTTTTTACCCCTTTTTAAAACAGTTTTAGTATCTAAATTTTATGATGGGTGCGATGGGTACTTGTTTACTTGCTCGGTCCCTCGAAAGTGCTGTGGTCCTTAATAAAAGCAGAGGTACAGTAATTGGGATAGTTCTCACGGCAAGCAACTTAATTTCAATATGCTGCTAACACAGCTGGTTTAGTTTATTTAGTGGGTACGAACTCGGTTAGCACCGTAGGTTCAAGTTTCCGCGCTTGCTCTTGATTTTAGGAAATAGGCGGGACCAACCATCTAAACTAGTTTTCAGGGACCAAACAAGTAAGCTTTAGTACCATATGATGAATATCAAAGTCAATTGAAATTATTGGTACCAATTATAAGAAAGAATTACACGTGAGAAAACATATTATCTTGGATCTATTCTTATTTTGTAATTATAAACTTTTTAAAATTATTATAATGTAAAACAAAATATTGTAATGTAGTTTCAATTAAACAGTCGCTTCTTTCGACCCCTGTCTTGTTCTTTCCAGATCAGTTCGCCTATTTTTCAAACTTTGATTCTGACTCTGGCTCGGATCTGCGACTTCAAATCTCATGATTCTAGGTGAAACTGCATTAATCATTCCATTTTGGAATATTCCATTAACTGAGACTTTTTCAGGCGAACTTTCTGCGCTTAACGAATCAATAGATGACCTTTTTTCACCTTGACCTCTTGTTAGGTAAACATTACTTTCAAGGTCATCCGCTGAGCAGTTATCATTTTGAACTGAATAGACAATTGCCGCTTTGTAGGGGTTGTCCGAACTTGGCTGCAAAATTATTCCTTGTTTTTGCTTTCCGGGCCGATTTGAGCGCCCTGAAGATACAGATGATTCATACATTATTTCCGGACCAGTTGAGTTATTATATCTGGGGGGTAGTAATATTTCTCCATTCGGTCGTAACGTACAGCCGTCTGGCAAACCTTCCAGGGTTTCTCTTACGTCATAATGGTTCATAATTTGATACATATTTTGATAGGAGTAATTTTCGGCTAGTTTCACTTCGTAGTTAATTCGGCCAATTTTGTCGCCTTTGGAGTTGGTTTGGTATGAGTGAGGTATGCACTCAGACGTCTCAGTTGGCCTCTCGCGCTCTTGGCCGAACATAACATCCCTGTGTGGTTCATACGCTACGAATCTTTGTGTGAACTCCAGCTGTGCTTTAGATCTCCTGAAACAAATAAACTGTACTCTCAGATTGAACAAAATGCAGTTTATTTCAGATTATTTGAGAACATATTCAGAGTTGAAGCCAAAATGTCAAATAAAATCTGAATAGACTAAAAAATCGTCTGTTAAATTTATACTTCCAATCGTATATTGCTGAGATTTTTTTTCTGGAACAGAATGCGGTGTGCGCAAAATTTATGGTGCAGGGTTTATGGTGCAGGCAAAATTTATGGACAAAAAATTTTGTCAGACTTTTTTTAGGTTAAGTCAGACTTTTTTTAGTCAATCAGCGCCTCCTCTTCCCTCGAGAAAATCCCATATCCGCCCCTGGGTCAGTCGCAGGGGCGGATCCAAAAATTTCTCGAGGGGGAGGCAGATTTCTAGGAAAATGTCGAAAATTTTTTCGACCAAATTTGGTCGTTTTTTTTAGGTCGATCAAATTGATTTTCTGAGCTCTCTGAAATCACTATAAAGAAGCTATTTTGACTAAATTTTTGCGTCGCAGGCAATTAAAAAAAAACAGGCTAAAAAGGCGTTTTTAGGCTCTTTTTGGAAAATGTTGACAAAAAATCGCGTTTTTCGGCGTTCCCCACCCTTAAAATTAGTATTTACTGGCGCTTCAGTCAACCAAAAATGAGTATCTCAAAATAGTACAAACAGGGGACTCACAACCACTTCATCCCCTGCCACGACAAAATAAGAACAAAGGGAGCGTCCTTGTTGCGGAATCCGCTTACAAAATGCACGAAATGCACAGTTTGGCCTCGTAATGTTTATGAAGTTGTATATGAAAACAAAATGGGTTGGTAACAGAGCACTTAACCTTGATGTCAGTTTCTATGGCAATTGGACCGTGTTAGGAAAAATTAACAAAATTAAAAAGCGCAGGTGCGGGGATTGGTAGAAGAGCACAATTACCATATTACGCCAAGTTTTCTTTGACGCAGGTAATTTTTTGGAGAAAAGGGCCGTTTTTGAGAATTTTTTCTCAAAAACACCTTTGCTCAAAACTAGCTCAAAACCAGAATGTATTGACGCCAGAGGTGTTTCAAATTTTTTTGTGGTTTAGTAAGCCAGAAGTGCCTTTCTTAAGATAGTTCGCAACCCTTTAGCAAAGTGTGGCAACCAGAATTTGGCAACCAAGTCTGGCAACCAGAATTTGGCTACAAGAGTCGACTCTGGTAACGAAGTTTGGCGTCCAGCTCACGCTAGAAGTGATTTAGCGTAGTTGGACTCAGATCTGAATCCGTTTGAAAATTCAAAATGCTGGAACCTGATCTAAACTATATTTTATGATTGGATAAATTAGATATTTTACCACTGTAAAGTATTTAATATTAACCAATCATGATCCATCTAACTAACAACCCACTTATTTGTAAGTGCTGAAATTACTTGTAATTTCAGCACCCGAGAGATTTGAATTTAACTTAGAAATTAGTTGCCTCTTCAAGAGAACTTCAGCAGCCGCAATAAACCAGTATACCCTAGATCTATTGAGCCTAGCAGAGACTAGTTAAACAACCTGAGACTAGATAGTATAAGAGTAAGATTAGGATCGGTATTAGACTAAGAAGTTGCACGAATCTATCCGGCCGAAAATAAGATACCGTGACGAGCAGACGGTGTACCCTATCCGAAATTATTCTATGAGTCAACCACATCGGTTCTAACTCATCTGGTGCGACCATAAGTCTCGAACAAGACCTTAATAGCTTAGAATTAACCAAAAATAGATTAGAATTTGGACAAAACATTTTCAAAATGTTATACGACGATAATTTAATCAAAATGTCTCTACGACTCAATAGATCAGAGCCAATATTCCGAACGATAACAGAACTACCCGGAATCGTAAGAAGACCTCGAACCAGAGACGACATACGACAAAGTAGAAACTTACCATATAGTTATATGATAGTACGGCAAAAGCCAACACAAACTTTTATATTTAGAATTTTATTAGCAATGAATTTAGATTTTCATTTGCAAACATAAAATCTTGAAGTCAATATTCATGATCATTTCAGGCGCTAAACAAAATTATTAATATACAATAACGATTGATAAAAAGATCTCAGATCGTTTTCCTAAATTCTGCAGTATTATATAAAACATGTTTGGAAAATATTTATTGAAAATCAAAACAAAATTTAGTAGCATGACAATAAAATGTTAGTAATCATAAAATCATCAGTTGTCCCAGCTTCATCACCTAAACATAACAGCAATCATAAGCTCACTAATATCATTAAAACACTAAATCTTCATCTTAAATAAATTTAAACTATTTTAAACTTAAATTCACTTAATTTTAAAATCAGATCATCAAGGCTTATCCTTGGATCTTAATTAATTTTCTATTTCACTACATTTAAAACTTGATCATCAAGGCCTATCCTTGGATCAAAAAGAACAATTTTGTTCTCCCCCACCCACTTAGCAAGTGTCTAACGACCTCAAACGTCGATTCACTATCCAACCCTTCCAAAAAACCCATGACTAATAGAAATTTTTCAACAAAACTAACCATTCAAATTAGGATAAACAGTGAAGAACTTCGGTTATTCATCCTTCACTTGAACCCTCCTCTTACCAGACCCAGGATAAATCTTAGACTTAGTAAGTTTAAAATAGTATCTAACGAACTACTTGCGTTCTAATTATACCTGAACCTTGTGGATCGATTTACTATTCTCCAACCCTTGAACACAATCACTACCCCTAAGTAAGATTAAATAAGTTAACACCTTAGCTTATACTAGCCACGAGAAAGTAAAATATCATTCTTCGGAATCGATATACTTTTCTTTCCAACCCTGAACAAATAGACCCAGGTTAAGCTAACCAAAAAATCGTAAAGACTAACAGTTTAAGAAAGTAGAAATCATCTAACAACTTTTTGCATCCCTCATCCTAAACCTTATGTCATTCAAAAATCTAGGAAATAAACAAACAATCGATTTACACAACTGTGAAATAGATAACAAAAAATACGATCTTGTAATCACACCTCATACACAAACAGTTGGATATATTAGAACGAAACGACTATTAATAAAAAGAAAAATAATAAACAAACAAAGACAAATCACACGAGAAAGATTTTCAAAAAATAGAAACGCTTTTTCAGAATCAGAAGCCAGCAATTTAGATGAGCTTTATAAATTAAAAGAATCAATTGATAAAAATTGTCCCATTCACGATCAATTATATTTTTCCGACTCAGAAACAACTTCAAATTCATCAAAAAGAGGAAAAAGAAGAATAAAAAAGCAATATAAACAAAAACCAGTACACTTGTATAATTGGAATCAACCAATTAGACACATCGATAGCTACATATTAACAGTCATTAAACGAAAAAATGAGCCACAGCCACACTCAAAGTGACGATAGTCCAGATGACGACGATATTTACCCCTTCCTCGTAGATGCACCCGATAATAGAGGACAGCATGACTTTTGCAAGAATTTACTCCTAAATTTGTTTGAACCCGGAATCAGCCCATGCAAAACAAAATTCCCAGATGTAAAAATTAAAAGGCAAATTAAAGAACATTATCTGAAAGATATATGTAATTTAACACAACAATACGGAATCTACACCATAGAATTCAGTACACCAAATCCGAATCACCGCAAATATGTAATTCAAACAGACGATCTTGACTTAGAATGTTCAAAAGTATTTTTAGAATATATTTAAAGCGTACAATATCATAACTCACAAAGAGCAAACTCCATATTTACTAACGAAGTTTTTGCAATAATATATAGTTATATTTCAAAATTAGAAAAAACAGAAATTCCAAATATCTCACCAACTGAGACATCCAAACATACAAAATTACGACATGAAATCACACTATTTTCAACTTTCCTACATATAATTAAAGAAAATTTCACTAAAGACGAAGTTTCACAACATACAAAACATGACTTACAAAAAATTTTGGCATGGTTTACAATAGATTATTTCACACATAATATAGATTTAATTTCACAAGCAAGAAAAAATATCAGACCTCAAAATTCAAACGATGATACCGCCATCACAGAACAGTCAGACTACGTTTGGGACCCCGAATGGTCTCATCATGCATTTATAAACATCCCACAATCAATTTCAAGTCAAGCAATAAGTACAATATCTTATCAAAGAAATTATGTAAGAGTAGTACCATTAACCATTGATGCAACACCATTAAACTACAATACATTTTTACCTGATACGCGAAATAACAGTTTAAATTCAACCGTCATACAGAATGAAAACCTTAATGGAACTAGGAATCTTACACAACAAGATATTCAAACACCATCACACTTCATAAATGAAGAAATCGTCCAAACAACAACAACTACACAACAAGGTATTTCACCGATATGTCCAAATTTAACAACACCAAAAAATACAAACACTTCACTAGCACAAGTAACCTTACAATCAACCGTTAAACCTTCGGTTGCTCCAAAATATTCACATATTGATTATCAAACATATAGACCTATGACAGTACCGTCAAAAACACGAAGAACGTTCACAAGAAACACTTTTGCAGAACACAATTATAATTACGCACATTCATCAAAAACAAACTATCCCCCACGAAAAACTAATAATAATCTTGTAAGATCTCGATATTGGGATAACCCATTGACAACAACCAACTCTGATGATGATGATGATGATGATGATGATGATGATGATGATGATGATGATGATGATGATGATGATGATGATGATGATGATGATGATGATGATGATGATGATGATGATGATGATGATGATGATGATGATGATGATGATGATGATGATGATGATGATGATGATGATGATGATGATGATGATGATGATGATGATGATGATGATGATGATGATGATGATGATGATGATGATGACGATGATGATGATGATGATGATGATGATGATGATGATGATGATGATGATGATGATGACGATGGTGATGATCATGTTGATGCTGAGTAAACTTTCAA